GGAGGTTATATGCTCTGAAATAGCGTGGCAATATTGACATCTGTCATATTAAACCGATGTTCTATTTCTAGCTTCTAATAAAAATCAAGTTCAAATTCCTTAGCATTGACAGGGTTCTCAAGGGTTGGCTTTATGTCCTTTTTAGGTAATGTACCAAGATGCTTTATTTAACTTGGTGTATGTCATTGCTTCCCAAATGATTGCATCAGTGACTTTAAAATTAGGTGGAGTTTGAACTTTGCATGTTGAAAATGCACAGATCAGCTTGACCATGTGACAAAGCTTTAAGTGATGTGGTGGATGTGCTTAAGAGCTTCTCTTGGAGCTGTTCAGGAAGCCTTGTAACTTAAATTATAAGATTCAAGGCTTGATTCCTTTGATCAAAATTCTGCATTTCCTTTCCACCCTTCCAGTTACTGCTGGTGATGCTTTAGGCTTTGTTCTGTTCTGCAGGTAGTCCTGCGCTATGAGATTCTGTGATGGTCTTTTGTTGCCTGAACTGGAGTACCACGTTTGGATTTCTTACACAGGTCTCATTTTTTGCCCATAAACTTTGAGATTTTTGGGAACTCAGCCAGCTGACCAGACCCTGTTACAGCTCTCATCAGGCCTTTAGACAACTGACTATTGTGCATGCAAAAAGTATGAGCATTTGGGAGCCATCAGATTTACTGCACATGTGCAGGCCACATGGACAACACAAGTGCAGTGAGTCCCATGTTCTTCAGACTCGTCACACTTTGTACACAGCATGTGTGTATGCACAACTGTCCAGGAAGTCCTTGACAAGAAATATGGTGACATTTGGCGCACCATGCCATGTAACGGGGCTTGAAACTAACTCTGAAACACTTGTGCTTGCACATTTTGTGAAGAAGGTTTTGGAAGTTCAAAATAATTTATTGAAATTATTTCCTTCCAGTTACTTTTTCCTGAGGAGATATTGTGATCTTCTGCTTTTGTCCACCCTGCTTTTTCTCTCCTCCCAGAACTCAGATCTTGTCTAGAGTGTAAGTGGTATTAATAGTGCTGTTGCAAGGGGGGGTAGTGGTGGAATTGGGGAGGATATTGGTGGCAGATTCAAAAGAGAAGGCAGCAACAGAACTGCTGAGGTGACAGCACTGCTTGAATGTGAATATATTCTGAACATCTGTTTAGTAAATGTTGTTCTGTACTAAGAAAAAAGCAAACCTACTTTTTTGCCTTGAAAACAAATAGATTAAATTAAAATTGTTAAATTGTTTACAAATTGATGCAAAGATGCTCTGAATAGAGCAAATTACTTTGCTAAGAGAAACTACTGTGTTTCTTATTGCAGAAGCAGTAGGTAAGATTTAAATCCCTGCTGAGTAGACACAGCACACCTTTGATAATAATCTTGTTTGTAAGGGCTTTTACATATATGGAAATGTTGGTAATTTGTAATATTTCAGGAAATAGGTTGGATAAAAACTGTCCAGCTTTACATAGCTTCATAAAAATGTTGAAATTAATATAAATACAAGTAAGAAACACTTGATATATTCAGATTATTCTGTAATCTGCTTTTTCTGCAGTTTTGTGTAACACATGCTGTGCTGACCTGTGCCAACTCCATACTAAGATGAATAGTGACACCTTTGCCAGCTTCTAGCAATTGCCTGGAGCCAGAAGCCATAGTAGATATGAGAAGGAAAAACAGCAGTGTCAACAGTCTGCTTCACTGTGGCATGTCTTGAGAATGTGACCATCTCCTTTTAAGAGCTGTTTTATCTGGAATGTAGGAAAATATGCTTCTTAGTTTGTGTAAGTTCATGTATTTCAAGGATAGGCTTGACTTTTCAGCTCATCTATTTTCTTCTGCCATTTCATGCAGTTCAGTTGTCCTTTTCAGGGAAATCTTGCTGTGAAGGATTAGCAGTGAAGCATGGAATATGCTGACTGCCATGGATGACAGTGTTCCAGAGGTTTTTAGGGAGCTCTTCTAGTATTTAATTGAATTTGAACTTTATCACACCTAAGCATTGCTAACATTAAAAAAATTCAAGTACCACCATGCAGCGATCTTTGCATTAGCTGTAATCACATTTACTTTGTATCCAACAGCTCCTGCACTGCTACACTGAGGTGAGGGGTGTATGCCTCTCCATATAGCCATCATTGTGCCTGGGAAGATGATTGCTAGTAAACTAGAATAGGAAAAAAAGTATTTCTTTGGAATGGCTGCCAAGGAAATTTCGGTTCCAACAATAGTATTTTCACTGCTTGAATGAGCCAAGGATGCATGTACCTTCAGTCTGTGTGGAGGAGACTTCAGAGCTTTCAGAGTACTTTGTCTTCCTAAGCAATATAAGTTCTGTCTTGTCTGGCCTGAACCAGCTGTTCCTTGTTCAAGAGCTGATCTCTTGTAGGCCAACACTTGATGGAGGATGCTTGCCTCAGAACAGATAGCATTGAGTGTCAGTGACATGCCTGGAGCTGTCTGTGCTTTTGCCCTCTCAAGAGGGTAAAGTAGAGGGATATGGTTCAAGCTCCAGCTGTGTTATCATTGTTGCTTCGGGTACTGTAAGGCTGCAGAGGGGTTGGTTGTGGCTTTGTCCTTTACTTTTTCTGTTACTGTTGAAGTCATCTTCTTCTGCCCCTTGCTCCAGGAAAGGAGAGATTCATTTAGGGATCCAGATAGAATTGTACACACTTCCTCAGACTTTTGGCTTCTGTACATTTGGGAGAGGTGGGAGAAGACTGTTCTCTAATCTTTTCTGAAGCAGCATAAAGCAGCCACTTAAAGGGGTGACAGCTGAGTTCCTCTGTGCATTTTCAAACCTCATGTCACTTGTCACTGAGCCTTCTCATGTCGGATGCTGCTATATAAGGACCATCTAACTGAGCTTTGAGTCTAGTCATGTAAGTGGTTCAATGTTAAGGCTTGATCAAAGTTTTCTATATAAAAATTAACCTCATGTAAATAATTATAAAATTAGAAAATCACTTTATTGCTTTTTAGATATGTGCTCCTCAGATATTTTATTTTCCCAGGAACATGCTCCTGAGTGTCAAGTCTTTGCTTGTTGGGGAGGGCAGTACACAGTACCTGCTTTTCTGGCTGTAAAGGGGGACTTTTCACTGGTTTGGGCAAAAAGAGCAAAAGTTATGGGCAGGAATGCCTTGGGAAAGGATACATTTTGGTAAACAAAACATGAAGAAACTGTTGTCAGAAGTGAACAAGTATTTAAGATGTGCTGGTGCACACTGGAATGCCATGTCCATATCTTATGGGGAATATCTTGTGGGTTTTTTCTGTACATGCCCGTCACTTAAAATATTGAGCTCTATGTTGATAGAACAACCTGAGGGTGTATTTTAAGCACAACCTGAAAACTTGAGTACTGATGTAACTTAGTGTTGTCATATCTTTGGAGGGGTTGGGAGGGTTTCATGGTAACACTGGCCGTGATCCTTGTTGAGCTGTGAAAAATTGTCCCATGGGAACAGAGCATTTACTCCATGGTTATAGACACGTTTGTGATGTAGATGAACAGATTATCTGTGTTTCTAAGTGTGCTATGCTTAAACGTGCCTTTTGAAGTAATTATAAGTGTGCAAAATAAGGAACTAGGTATTTTGAAACACATTTTTGTGTCATGCGTACACCAGCTTTATTTTGGGACAGTTCACTCCGTGTGTGCATGGTGTACCCCAGGGACAATCTTCCTAAGTATGGGACAAGATTTGCTTTATAAAAATGCCTTCCTGTGTGTCTCCCAGGACTCAGCTTTCCAAGCCACCTCAATGCTATCAAACTTTCAGCATGTATGGCGTTTTTTTGGTGCTTTTTTTTTAGTACAGTTTGAGATGAAAAACCTACATCAGCTCAGAGCAGAAAAACCAGGTGAAAGTAGTCCGCTTGGTCTTGTTTCCAGAAAAAGTTGCTGAAGTTCGCTTTGCCCTGAATGTTACAGCTCGAAGTCAAGCAGCGAG